AACTTCACAAACAGATCAACTCACCCTGTGCATTTGGTGCATAGCTTTTGTAGTTTTGAGATTTCAGGGGGGTCAAGTTGACCCTCACTAAAACTAGAGGCATTGAACCGGCCACCTAGGCTCGTATTAAGCGCTTTTATTTGCTATTTTCTTCTCTTCTGCCTGTCCTTGCTATTTCCCGTCTCCCCCTCCCTTCCCGTTGTGTCCCTCTCCCTTCCCTTCTGCTCGTTGTCGAAGTGGTCGTCCTCTTCCCTCCTCCGCCTTCTCACTCTTATTGCTCCTCTCTTCTTCTCCCTCCCTCCACCTCTTAGATCCATTCCCTCCTCTCGATCCCTTCTATTCATCCGTCTTCTAATCTTCCTCTTCCTATTCCTTTTCCTCCCTCCTCCTTGTCTTTGCCTTCCTCTTCCTCCTCTTCCTCCTCTTCCTTGTCCTCTCTCACTCCCTCCCTTTCTCTCTCCCCCCCTTTCCTCCTGGTGGGAGGGAGGACCTCCTTTCTTTCCCGCTACTCCCCCTCCCCTCCGCAGCGGGCCACAGCTGATCAGCGATCCGTCCGTCGGCTCCACCCAGTGACCCCTGGCCATCGTCCCCACTGCCATCAGAGGCGGCGCCGCCCCCTGCCAGCCGCCGGTGCCCGATATTGGCGCATTCCTGACGGCCGCCCCGCCGCCGCCGCCGCCGGCTGCCGTGCCATCTCGTATGCGAGGCTCCAGCGCCGAACCGTTCTCGTGACCATAAAAAATGCTCATCATCCGCAATGGGTCTGTCAGGTCCACTTTGCAATCGGCGGCACTCCGCCCGGCGGCAAGGCGCGCCATCGGTGGACGTGGATTGGTGCTGTAGACCTCAACACAGCCGGGGCGAGCAGAGCCCTTAGAGTGATTCATTTCATGGCGAAAGTTGTTGCCGTGGCTTAGACACCGGCGGGGCTGGTTTGCTTTACGCTCATAAACATGGCTGCACGGCCGGCGATTTCTATTTAATGGTACCGACGGTAGTTATCGTGGGTCATTCTTCGACAAAATGTATTAGCAAGTCGCTGAACGACGGCTATCAGTCAATCAGTCCAAAAATTTGGTCAACCGAAAACCAATGGAAATGGATTTGGTTTTTGTCAGCCATGAATAAAATTTCGATCATCATTTTCGGTTGGATGCATATTCTGCGAAAATGGTTGAAAGCCAACAGCAGCGTCTGCACAAGTCTAGCAGAACAGTGTATGCCTAGACCAGATAACAAGTTAAGTGTTGCAAACAATGTCATTGATACAGCACTTCATATAAAAGGTGGATACTATTAACTAAATAAAAAGGAGCAGGACAATGTGGTGCCTTAAAATGCTAAGCTAAGGAACAAGACATAACTTTATACAATTCTAAGGCATGCCACAATCTGAGGCATTATCGTTAGGTGGAACGTTCTTTCAGATGTAGATGCACATTCCAAATGTCGGTGCACAAACACAATTATTCGATGGAATCGCATAGAACGACAGCATAATAGACTGAATATAGCACATGACCAGTGCAGATCATATAAAGCACTTGTTTGGTGAGGTAAAGATAAAAGGTAATAGCAAGGGCAGAGGATAAAGACGAGGGCAAAAGCTGCAGTAGCCAATAGCTGCAGCATCCAGCAGCTATTGTTTAACCCATCTTCAAGGGAGAGTTCCACATTTGTGTGGAGTTTTGAACCGAAATAACCATCTTGAAGATCATTTGGTGCGGTTCACAGCCTTGCCCTTCTTAAAGACTTAAACCCTCTAGTTTCTGAGCTTCACTTCCGCTAAGGTGTGCAAAATTATCGTGCAGGCTATTTCAGATCAGCCAGGCATCCATGACGCCATAATGACGTCATTCAAATCCTGCAATTCCATTGGCCACGTGGTGATGGAGGCCAAGAGAAGTGCAATTGTCAAGTCGTTCATGTATTTCGGTCGTGAGCACGAATTCCAGAACTGAGGTCATCAATTAACTTCCAGTCAATGTTGTGCAAGGTGCGTTGATGTAAGCATACAATGACGCATTGAGGTGCATATCTACCAAACAAAGAATTATACCGCCTAGAACCGTTTTTCCTGTTAAAAGTGTGTCAATAGTTATATGTGAACTCATTTCATCATATATGATGCTTGCTTCAATATCTCAGATGTGGCGCATTCCCTCTAAACCGGAGAAGTGATAAAAGAAGTGGCGCTGGAAGTAGATTTCGTCGACTAACTTTAACAGATGTCGAAGGGTAGCTGTGCAAGCACTGGAGAGATTGGGACCACCCCCACCCATTGGTCACTAAACAAATTATTGGTATCCTTGTTCCATCTATAGAAATATAATTTTATGAAATAATTGCTCGATAGCTTGTTTCATTAGATTTTCATTTGCAGCATCACAAGAATCCAGCTGTTGCCATGAAATGTCCTTATTGAATTCCTTACGAATTCCTTATTGTTTAATTCCTTAGTCCAATCCTTAGTTAAATCCTTATTATTTAATTCCTTATTTAATTCCTTATCCTGTCTTCACTGTGTTAGTGGTACCTGAAGTGAGCTTATTACTGTCACCCCGCCTTTCACGTGAATGCAGTTATGACGCAGTGGTGCATTTGCGGCTTACAGCAGGTCTTTATGTCTGTACTTTTCGTTGTCGAATGGGATCGCAAATGGGGCTGGGGTGGCGGTCGTATTGCATAATGGATAGGAATAAGTGAGCTGGATGATGAATGATTACTCAAAGATTCTGTTGACGTGCTTTCATTTTGCCTCTTTTATGTCGGCGATGCTTCTTCACATTTTTTTTTTTTTTTGCTAATAGATAGCAGGTTTGCCTTTAAAACGACACTGATCCTGTGTGCAAGGCTGGGTGTCACACACCTGAGGGTGTAAGGGAGCACTGAATCAATAGTTATTTTGTTAGTGGTCTGTATGACCGTAGTTTTCAGAGGCAATGAGCATGCAACTAGTCAAAGATAAGATACTTGTTAGCGCAATGCGATCAGGTGGTAAAACACGGCGATTTAAACCTGCCACGTATAGTTATATTTTTGCAAAATGACCTTATAAGAAAGGATAAGCTTTCACCTTTACTGTCACTTTGGCGATGACGCCAGCCAAAAGCCTTGGTCTTTACGTTTTGGTTAATCTTGCGCAAAATACAAGTTTATGTGGTAGTCTAATGGTCATGTTTTACTATCTGCGAACGCGGCCTGCGTGAATGGATGACACTTTGGGAGCGTTCGGCTATTGTGTGAAGTACTTTTGAGGGTTCTTGTCTTTTAAGCACACAAACACAACTGCGAATGCGTGAACAAGGTCAAGTGATAGCAAACATAATGTAGTAGCCCACCATTAATAATTTTAGAAATCGGCCAATTTTGGGATTCTGAACTAAGGCAGTAGTAACAGCCTTATTCCTCAAAAAAATATCAGGAGGTTGGAGATATATAGTTGCGTTGATATTTCGGCAACTTGCTTTCATCAAAATGAAGAGCAGAAGTCAAACCGTTAGCAAAGACTCTGAGCTAAACCAATTAGTTTTCGGTTCGCAGCGCCGCCATGCACATCGGTTTCGGTTCGAACAACGCACTGCAATTACTAGAATTCGACATCAAAGGTGGCTGCGCTAAATCACGACATTTAAGCTACGCTATCGCGAGCGGGCTAGCTTGAACAGCCTGCGCAGGAATTCGAGCACGATTTTTCACGGAGGTCTCTCCGTAACGCTTTCGACACCCCGAACTGCAACCTCTGACGCCTTTCGACAAAGCCTCCACCCTTCGACTCTCCGGCGTCCTCGCTAAAACTGCCAATGGTTGAATCGCGCCCGCCATGAAAGTTTTATGCCAAGGATTATGCGGCCAGCTGCTTGGTGTAGTATAAATCGTGATGTGCCGTAAGTGGTATCAGTGGGTGGAGGCAGGTGTTGGAGGCCGGCCGTCGGCCGCCACCGCGGCTGATAATGACAGCCTGTTTGCGCCTGGGGACGATAGCCGGCCGCTCGCGCCACCTGATGTGGACCGTGATGAGCCCGGCCGGCTGTGTGAGACTGAAGCCCCGGCCGCTGTGGTAAGTGACGTCGGCGCCGTGGTGGCTGATCTGCAGGACTTACGCAGCTGCTGCTTGCCTTTTGGCGTGATTGGAAAGTTGGACTCTGATGATTTAAGCATGCTCGGTTATCATTAGTGCGCCGTGTTATGATTGATGAAGTGAGCTTGATGATAAATCAAGCCTGCATTCTGTAGTACCATACATTTCGTCCGTTGTTTCCGGGCGGCTGCTGACGTTAACTCGCGCTCTGTGGTCGGTGACAATATTTCATATTTGTGTCCTTTCTTCCTATGCATAAATAAATCTGTTGAAACCACTGTTGCTGCCACATGAATAGCGTGTTGTGCGTGCTGAAAATCAGAAATCCTCGGGCTGTGGGTAACACGTTACTATGATACATGGTCCCGTTTTAGACGTATAGCGTCGTCATCGCCAACACCCTCCCCCCCCCCCCTCCCCCCCCCCGCTCGATGGCCATCTGAGCCCGAGGATGCTCAAATAACACCAGGATCCCTCATTCGTTCAGGAAATGGAAGGCGAAACGGAACAGGAATGAAAGGGAATATTGGCGATAAATCGCCGACGACGTGAAACGGAGATTGATGCGCAGCTGGGACGTCATCCCAACAAAAAATTGAATCGTCTTTCAAATGGATGTTTGAGAAATGTCCATAATGGCCTGGAAGCACAGTATAATTGCTTGAGCCCTTTTACCAGTCGTTCACTGATTGAAACATTCTATTTTATTCCCGCCGCCAGACGGCAAACCGATCTAATCTCCATCCATTCGCGATCGTGCTAGCCAAGCTGCGGCCCATCTCAATGCAGACTCCATTTGAAGGCAAGACTAGGCCTGTTGCACTTTGATAAATAAGCTATGAAACAGAACGTGTGCTCGGTGCAGACGTCCCGCTCGTTCTCAACAGAAGCGTCGCCCTAACCGTCGCCGCCGTTTCAGGGTGTGCCTTCCTTACCTACTGTGCCAGAGAAAGCGCGGCGATCGCCCAGAGCTCGCTCCACGAGAAGCGCACTCTTCCCGGGGTGAGTAACGCTGGCCGCACCGGCAGCAGGCGGACGACTGCGGACCGCCTGCGACCCCGCCCCGCCGGGTCACCCCACGAGAGCAGCAGCTGCGGGCGGATCAGAGCGCCGCGCGCGACGCGCTCAGTGGTGGAGTAAGTGGAGAAGTGAAGCGAACTCTCGGAAATTGAACGGCTGTCGTTGAAAATCAAAGGTTTTCAATTCAAGGGCCCAATTCTCCATGATACGCTGATTTGACTCAGACAGTCCTTGGCCCTTGAACTGAACAAAGAACGGAAAAGTCAAAGGCCCAGAACTTCAAATGAACAAAGCCGATTTATCCCATACCCAAACAACGAAAGGAATTCCTGATGCACAGCAAACACAAGCTTGCACCTCCGGTATCGACTTGCTACCACTGATTCCAGATCCACATTAGCCATCTCGCGGCGACCTCCGGCAACCCTGGCGGAGGGCCGGCGTGCGCCACGCTAGAAAACTTTGAAATTAAAACGTATCGTTGCTGGCGTTGACCGCCGCTGCCCGGCTGACGGATCGCGGACGGACGCCCCTTTCGACGCTCACTATTGCGGGCCGGAGCCGGGCTGGCGGCCGTCGCGCCGCGCCGCGCCGTAAGTGTTCATTGAAATTCGATAGGCGGCGGCAGCGGCGGCGAGCGAGGGGGCGGGTGTTCAGTTGCCGGGAACGCCACCCTATAGCCCGGGCCTCGAGCGCAGATGCTGGCCGGGGGCTGTGGAAGTTGTTCCGAGTTACAGGACATTGTTAGTTGGGGCTATTGGGGCCAAACAGGTGGTGGTGTTGAATAATGCTAGGTGATCCAATATAATGTACTGCAGTTATGTATGGGAGCCGTTTTAAAGGCCTATGTCCAAGGAACGCAGCTGTTGAGCATTCAGCTGGAATTGCAAGACGTGTTGCGATGAATTGATTGTCTGAAATGTATCTTTTGCTTTTTTGTATTAAAGCGGCGTCCGAAATTCAATGCACCACATGACACACAACGGCAGCTCATTTATTTCATGCACGTATCCTCTCTTTATATGCCTGCTTCGACTGATTAGTAAGGGGGCGGGAGTAGCCCATTTAAAAAGCTCCGCGATTACGCTTACGTGAAATCTACGATGTCCCACAGCCTTGCTGAAGCTCACTCCTTAGGAACCAGCAAAAATTGGCGCAGAAACACCTTACCCACACAATATATGCAAAGCTACTGCTCATCGGTGTCCGTTGTATGCATGATGAATGTAGTGAAGTGGATAATGCGCTCGGTTATTACATGAATCTACGTATGTACGCGCGATCATGGACGAACGGATGTTCCCAGTCATTGGCGAACACCGTCTCCCATGAGGCGGTATCGACGGGCGTGGTGTTTACGAGCATAACAGCGGCGTGTTATGAAAGCTTCGCATAAATTACGCCCTGTACTTCAGTAAGCATAGCAACAAAAGAAGACCCACTGCTCCATAACGCGTTGTTTCCCTGTAATATGGGCCTTAACCGCATTCCACACACCGCGGCACATTCGACAAACGAGCCTGTCGACGCCACTGTCTGCTTTCCCCCTCAATTACTTAGCCGGTTCTTGCGAAGCCCGGCGGCCGACGCGAGGCGTAGGCGTCTGGGAGCGAGTCTACATACGGCGCCGGCGTCTGGGCACGGCCATTACGTGCGGCAGCGGGTCGCTATTGTCCCGCATTGAATGACTTGTCGCTTCCGCTCGTAAGTGACGGAACTTTGTAAACAACCCGGCACGGTGGCCTCGCGCGCCCCATCGACCGACACCGCGAGCCGAGGCAGGTCGATGCGGTCGATAGGGGCGTGTTACCATGGCGCCTTGTCGCCTCATTGCGCGTTTGCGACTCCGTGCTAAACACACACACACACACACACACACAGCGCGAGCTGTTGCCGTACGCCGCCGGGCCGACGGCGTCGTGCCGCTGGGCGCTTAAGCCGCTCCCCGACCTGAAACGGCCCATGGACGCTAATAAACTGGTCTGCTTAGTGGCCCTAGACGGGCGAATGTGTGCGGTCTGTTGCGTAGCTCTTCTTGTCGATGGCTTCGCTTCGCGCGAATGTCACATTTAGTTGTGCGGATGGCGTGAGTAAAAGAGGAAGAAGTGATGACGTTATCAGTACACTGATAGCGGCTGGGGCATCATGTTTTAGTGTGATTTCTCAGTGGTCTGATACGCGCAATGTGACGACGTGTTCCTCATGCTGAAGTCGAAGCGTAGCCGTAGAACAATGTTGCCATCCATTTCGCCATTCAACATACTGAAACAGTTATGTCCGAAAGAAAGCTCTGGTTTTTTCGGCATTATGGGTTGAAGGATCTTATGTTGACTTCACGACCTACGGTCGACAAGGAGGTACTGGCTGAACGATGTTTTAATGCTAATGAACGATTATATTGACGGTACTTGTCAAAGGATTTTATTGACGGCATTGACTGCCACCAGTAATCGTAATAAAGCATTGCAATGACGTTAAACCAGTACCTCCTGTTATTGAAGGTCGTTAACTTATTATAAGAACTATTAACTCATGGTGCCGAAACAGTGATAATCTCGGCCTGAAAACAGACTTTCCGCCTGCGAAATAACACGACAACAGATGACACACAAGACGCATCACAGAGAAGCTGAGCGTTGAAGTGATTTCACACTTCGTCTGCACCTTGTTATCATTCCCTCCGAACCTTTCAGTCTGCAGGCCAGCCCTATTCATCGAGTCCTCATGCCGAGCATTCTCCGCCAGACTCCCTCCACTCCCGCATTGTACCGATTCTCAACGAGAGGCAGCTTAATCGCAATATTTCGCGCCGGCTGTGCTGCATACAATGCGCCATGGTAAGCGGGGCTTCGCGTCGCGGCCCGGCCTGCGATCCATCATGCATTGGCCCAAGATGGCGCCGCGCCGGCAGCAGACATCCCCTCGATCTGCACGCCCCTCACGACATTCCAGGGGCTATATGGCGGACGGGGGATCTGCCATTAACATACATATGAGCGGCCGGGGTGGGCTAAGGATCATAGCCGACCTGTGCCGTCTCATCCCTCCTAGCCGCCGCGGACGTGTCTGACGAGCACGCCAGGACCAGGCACTGCGGCTGGTGAGGACGTCTGTGGAGCGGCCGCCAGCGCCGACAGGCGCGCCTGCCGAGCACTTTGCCGCGCGGGTGTCGCCGCATGAGAATTGGGGTCAGTTTTGCCGGACCTTTGACCGTGTCGTGGTGCTGCGATGAATGCACACTCGATTGGCTATGTATTCGGAAAGGTCACGGGGACGAGACAGCGTCCAGACTTTTCCCATAGCAATAAAGTCTCCAAGTACGCTTCGAAACGACTCCATCCAGTCTCCGATTTGGCAGTGGTCGGTAGATCTGAGTCCGCAGCGCCTCAAGACATCCACGTTTTGTCAGGGCCCGTGGCTTTCGCTCCCTGCGCGCACAGCGCCGCTGCTCACGTGGCTGTGGTTTGAAGCTGCCTGGGGCTCTTCCTCAGTTGCACCACTCACGAGCCCAGTCGTGTGCCCGACGGTCATGGTGCGACCAGCTGACGGTTATCAGGGCGTCGCGGTGGGGCAAATAAGACGGTGCTTGGCACGGGTGTCTGCAGGTGTAGCGCGCCCGGCCTGCCAGACGGAGCCCTCCGCCGCCCAGACGGCTTCCGCTCGAGACACCGGAGGCCCGGCCTCTCTCCTGCCAGCGTCACGGCCCGTCACCTCCGGGCGTCCGCCGTGATGCGACAGGGACGGGCCTCTGCGTGCCACGGCGTCTTCACGACCCGCGGGCACGTACGCCGCCGCGTCACGTGATCGCCGCCGGCAGGGTCACGTGACCGGCGGCGGCAGGGCACGCCGGCGGCGCCGTGCGGCTGTCCATCGACCCGACCTGGCGGGGCCCGATAGCACGTGGGCGGCCCTATATCGACCGGCGGCATCCCGGCTACCCCGCGGCAGGGGACGCGGCGCCCGCCGGGCTGACGAGGGGTCGCGGCCGGGGCGGAGGGAGGGCGAGCGCCACAGCGTGGGCTCGCCACCGCCGGCGGCAGCTGAGGAGGTGCCCGCGCCACCGCCGCCACCGCCAATGGATCATCACCCAGCGGCGAGATGTGGTGATTGGTGGGTAAGGGCCGGCCACAGCTGCTCTGCCGGTCAGATATTGGACGGTCAGAGCCTCCTCCGGCTCCCATCACTCTGCGTGATCTTGTTACCGGGTCTCTCCACCTTCCAATCCTTCATCTCCTCTCCTTCTCCGTCGCCTGTGGGCATCTCACCAATATTCTTCAGCACCCACTGCTGGCAACATTCGCCCTGCTCTCTTCACGAACTGTCTGACTATCTTGCCTCCGTCTTGTCCGTTCCGCCATCTTTTGGTTGCGCTTTTACTCTCTCATTTTGTACCTGACTCACTCCTCACTCTCCACTGTCTGATTTTTATAAAAGTGCAATGTCACTCAGCAACCTGGTCACCCTCTCACTCATTCACAGTTTTCATACACCCAATAATCTCTCTCTCCCTCTCCCCCCTCCCTCCCTCCCTCCCTCTCTCCCTCCCTCCCTCCCTCCCTCCCTCCCTCTCTCTCTCTCTCTCTCTCTCTCTCTCTCTCTCTCTCTCTCTCTCTCTCTCTCTCTCTCTCTCTCTCTCGTTCTCCTCTCTCCCCTTCTCTCCCCTTCTCCTCTCTCCCGTCATCCTAGTCCTCTGTCCTCATCACGATGTGCCCTTATGACGAGAGCCGTCCTTGTCTTGCCGCGCGCGTTGGTAATGATGCGGCCAGTGCACCACTGGAGAGGAATCACCACAGGAAGAAGACAATTATGGCTCGCGCACCACTGCCTGAAACTCCTGAACCGTGCAGGGTGGCCTCATCATGATTATGCCGCGTATACTGAGGCCAGAAAGTGGCTCTGGTTGGAGCCAACACAGAACATAACGGAAACAGGCGCAAAGCAAGATACGAGCTAAGCTTTGAAAAGCAGGAGAATCTGACATA